TTTTGTAATGAATGTCACTTTTATTAGAGAGGAACATAATATGGTATGGATTCAAAATAAATAGCTTGCTTCCTCACTTTGTTGCCTCTTGTTTTAAAAGAAAAAGATTTTTAAGATCAAAACTTGTGAGAAGCAACTGAAAAGTCATTTTATGAAATATGTATAAGAGAAGGGGGAACCCAATTTGCAGTCATCAAATAATGGTGTGAGATGTAGAGTTTGTGAACAGAACATGCATGCATAAGGTTGTGTATTAATTGAACATCCTAAATGTATAATGAAAAGGACAAGGTTCCTTAAAATTCATGAATGTAATTCATTGTATTTGAAGTGAGAAGGTTTGAAAATGTTTGCAGTGAAAGTAAAGGAAGAAAAAAGAAGAATGCATGTTGGGTTTAGGAACATACATATATTCATACACATGCACAAGGGATTCAGCTTTAATTTCAATAAGCACCACCTCGTTGGTCCCAACAAAATTATAAAGTGTAACCTAACTCAATGAAACCAAACTGCTAATTCCTACAAATTATTCTAAATGAAATGAATGAATCTGCTTCTAAAGTGAAAACGGGAACATATACATATTCTTGGGTCTTGGCATCAGTGTAAATATTCAGAGTATTATATTCTAGAGCAGCAACATAGAGTGTGTGCTAAGTTCATACTTGTTCGAGCTAAAATTTAGAGGATATATTTTTAACTTATCACTCGACAAAATTTAGATGAAAGTGTTAGTCAGCATTGTATAATGATGAACTATGAACAGGGACGGTGTAAGTGAAGGACAGTTTTACCGGGTTCTTCTACTTTATGTGTTATGAGAAGCAATATCTGTATAGGCATGTGCTTCCTCAGAACCAAACTATCAGCCTCCACTAACTTTCACCGTCGTACAAAAAAGACACCATACAACCTCAGGTAAGAGTGGGAATATATTACCTGGCAAGTTGAACATTCCTGAAATGCTTATGTACACATGCATTTCTGATTCATTCTTCATTTTCAAAAATGATTGTCTAATAAGATTGGTTTTTCTTGTTTAAAATTGTGTTTTAGGGAATGTTGTTAAGGTTCCATGTAAAAACCACCAATTGACACTGAAAGAGGTAGTCCAACCAATATTTAAACTATTCCCGAGATTGAGGTAGACGATGTGAGACTTACTTCCCAACAAATGTTGTTGATACTAAAATCTGGCATCCAACAGTATTTGATTTTTATCTTTGAAGTCATGCTAGCATCCAGGTAGAGTACAACTTTTTCTCCAAACTCATGATATTTAGTAGTAGTTATTTCACAACTCTGTCTTAAGATATGGACTTCCTTAATTTTAAAATGTGAATATTAAATGAAGATTCTAATATCTTGGAGAGCACACGTTATATATAAATTTTAAACTAAGGTAATTGTGGTTCCATTATGATGAAGGTTACAAGTCGGGAAGCTCATTATCATGTTCTACATATGGAAGGTGTACACGCTCTGTATCTGTTGGTGAGCCTGTTTCTGTTATGAATTGTTTTTCAGTTTTTGATCCCAGTTAATGACTCTTTAAACCTGCTCTCTACTTCTTTACCTTAAAACTTGTTAAAGAAGCTAGAATGTTTTTACAACATGAGTGAATGGTCCATTCTCTCAATGCAGGAATGTTATAGCCTACTTCTTTATTGGTACAAGTTTCAACTAGTTTAGCACAAATTATAACATAATTGGCTGGATTTTCTTGTGCAGTTCCCCCAACATACTATGCACATTTAGCAGCCTTCCGTGCTCGTTTCAACATGGAATCAGATACACAAGAGAATGGCTCTACAGGTGCAGTTAATATTGGCCATGTTTACATATCAACTCGACCAGCAGGAAATAGTAGTGTGAAGCCATTGCCAGCGAGAGAGTCATGTTTTATTGTTAGATTGCAATGTGATGTGGCTTAGCAATGCAATGGCAACAATTGTTGGGAAGTAAGTCTCATATCATCCACCTCATTATTTCTGTAATGATTTAAATACTTGTTGGACTACTGATCTTCTCATTATTACCAAATGATTTTCAAATGTAATGTTCACCTCACATTACCTTGCAAATGTATACTGGTAAGGTCTCTCCTGGTAGATCCATGAAGATAGTTCTAGAGGCTTAGTTTCGGATTCCTAGAAGTGTTGTCAAATCTGACATTGTAAAGAAATATTCTATTTTATGTGCCAACCTTGGTTGTAGAGAATTTTGTCTGTGGGCCTTTTATACATGTTTAGTAAACTGAGTTAAGTTAGTTTAACATTTCATTGGCAGGAATCTTTATATAACTAAACCATCAAATGTATAAGCAGAATAGAGAGAGAGAGAAATGTCCCTGCAGATCATTTTATGCTTGTGTGGTAGATTGTTGTTGTAGATGATTGTCGGGTATTCCAAAATGTGAGCTAAAAAGTACTACAATGTGTTGAAGTGGATGAGTTAAAAAACATATAAGGAAATGTAGACCTAATTCTTTAAGGTTTTCGTTCAAGATGTGGTGTGTCAAACCCATTTATATGTTTCCTTCATTTAGCACATAGTTCAACGACTGAACCTAGTATTGAAAGCGAAATGCTTGATAGATCTATGTGGTATTCGAAGTGAGTGAAGAAATCTCATATATTATAAGAGAATGAGTTAAAGAACATGTGGATGCCTTTAGGTTTTGGGTTAAGATGTGATATAAGTTCTATGATGTTTCTTTCACTTAATGAAGATCTTTCAATACAGGGAGAAGTTGGAAAAACCAAGCATGTTAATAATTTGTATTCTGATTTAATATAAGCTACAAACTAAAAGCTATAAGCTAACAGACCCTTATGCAGCAATGGTAAGTTGTTGAGCAGTGTTATAAGCACCAACACCATATATATTTGTGATGAAGAAATGATTCAGTACGGGTAACAAGCCTATCCTGCATATATGATACATTTCACATGTTAAACGAAAGATCAAGTTTTGTACACTGCCTAGCATAATGATTTTTGTCATAATGATTTTTGTCATAATGATTTTTGTCTAATGGAAAATGGAAATAACCCAAATCCAGTCCAATAATGATTTTTGTCATCCAACTTGCATCAACATATATTTAGAAATCAACATCTATTTTTTATAAGTAAATCAACATCTAAATTTACTTTAGCTTATCAATATAATACATGCTTAGCTATCTAATATATAATTAATCAGAAGTGCAAATGACTACTCATTACTAATGGCCCCCTATTTTTTTACCAATACTAATTTTACCTCCATAATTTTTATGAAAAATCACTCCCACTTAATAGCCTCACGTTTGATTTATTTATTTTTATTTCAAATTGCTTGTTTTATTAATATAACACCTCTTCTCACATATTATTCTATATTTTGGTGATTATAGTAATGATTATATTATATTATTATAGTTGATGCATAATTAAAATAAATATATCATTTGAGATGTACAAAATGTTATAGGTTCAAGGTTCATTATGAAGATGATCAAAAAATATTTTGAACTCAAATAGTAACAATAATAAAAAAAGAAAATATACTCTAATTAACGAATTCAATTCAAACTGAAGGATATTGGGAATTGAAATTTTAATTTGTTCTATGCATGTAATTTTGTTCCAGCCAAAGAATTAATGAGTTCATTGCAAATTGATGGAATTAATAAAATTCCATTGCGGCATCATAACATAATTTACACTTCTGCAGTTACACGTACACCATGCTAAAGTTCATTATTGGTTTTTATTTCACACTGAATATACATGTAGCTTGTTTTTGTATAAAATGCATTATTCCAGTACAGTGAGATCGAGATATATTTGTCCCCAAAAATACATAGGGGAACAATTGACATATACATGTAACTAGTTGGGAGAATCAAAACCAATGACCTATATATTATATGTCCTTTAGGTACTCATGTAGCAGAATTGAAAGTGTGTGAAATCTCAGCAGAAGAAATAAAAGAAAAGGCTTTAAATCCGAAGAAGAAAAAGAAACAGATATATACAGCACCAAAAACCAGATGATATCATATGATGTAGACATTGTGGGTTAGAAATCTGCAAAGATCTTGGGGATGGTGACATCAATGGATTGTCCAAGGAAGATGTATCAATTTTAATCTCTATAAGTATAAATATTACACTTTAATTTGTTATTACTTGAAAATCATTATTTGTAGAGAAGTTGGAAGAAATGTTGGTAACTTGTTATCTAAGGAAGTAGGTAGTAAAAGTCGAAGATGAAACTTCCAAAATGAAATTAAAACCTAATCCAGAAGGTTGTGCTGAGATCATATATAGGAAGATGAGGAAAGTACATTGAGAATCCAGCAAATGAAATATCTTACTCAGATCAAGCAAAACATACACACACACAGGAACGGACTAATAGTAAATTGTAGTTTTTTATTATTAAATAAGAGTTTAGAGTATCTTGAAAGCAAAACACTAAATACTTAATTTCACTTCCATCAAGGAAATAAAAGGATAATAGTAAAGAAACCCTAATTGATAAATTTAACACAAAAGAATTGTATGTGAGAATTCCAATGCTAAGGAAGGAGGCTCAGTCACCGAAGCACAAACTGGATCTTGAAAGCATGAATGCATTGCACCGAGCCGCACAAAAACAATTCGTGTCTTTCAAAACCCTAACAACCTTTCGATTAAGTTTTCATACCTAAAAAAGCTAGATTTCAATTTACACTGCAACAACGGAAGAAAAAAGTAATCATAAATATATCTTATGTTAATAACTAAATATCATCGTTTGACCCAAAAAATATATATTAAGGGAAAAATAAAAATGATGGTGCTTATGCGAAAACGGGAAAAAAAGGCCTCCAAAACCAGAAAAGAAAAAAACAAGATAAGAAGTAAATTAATTCCAAAGAGGCAAAGAGAACTCCCATAGGGAACGTAATTAATTTAACACAGACATTAGAGAAACAGAAATAGGAAATGGTAGGATTCATGGAACCAACAACAAGGTGAAACTGCCACATGATCTGATCTATCCCCTACAGATGAGGGAAGTTAAGATCATGCTGGCAGCTTCAACTAGTAGTGGTGCATGCTTGATATTGGAAATTAAGGATAATCAAGAACAAGTGGGTTTTGAACTTATGAGACTGGGAATTCATGAGTAATAAGAAGTTGCTGCTTCAACTAGCAGTAGGGCTAGTTGCTGCTGCTGCTGCTTTTTCTAGGGTTTGGAGAAGAGGGTAAGAAGAGTCACTATTATATAGCAGAGTTGAGGGGGGAAGACCGAAAGGTTAAGATAAGAGAACTCTATGTAAAAATTGGAGATTTATTTATTTAATTTTCTCATTATGTTTGAACTTTTAATGTATGTTATCTATAAGTGATGGAATATTAGGGGAGTGAAAAGGCATCGGAAAAATATATTAAAATGAAAGCAAATTAAAAGAGGTAAATAGTGGTCCCCTGGTTATGCAAATTGAATATTGTCACGCCAATACAACTACCATGCAGTTCACAAGACACAGGATAGAGACTGTGTTTTCTATGTAATGTATATTACAAAGTCTATTACTTACTTTTGAGTTGGTTTTAAAAACACTCTCTCTCTCTGTTTGTGATAAGGAAAGAAAGGTAGTGATGAATATGAGCCAAAGGAAAAGCTAAGGGGACCATTTGCATGGCTCCATAGGCACTACATTACTTTTACTTTCACACATTACATATGCATCTTGCAAATTAATGTAGTGTCTCTTTTTTCTTTCTTGCAAATTTTCCATTTAGTGAATACCTGTTTCTGTTGTAACTTGTACAATTACATCCATCCACTTATTGGAAAATTTTGATGCTGCTGATTAGGAAAATGACTTATTAGTTAAAAAAATTAATGTTATCTGGAGTCATTTTTTCTTCTCACAGTTACGTTATATAGCTAGTGACATGTTAGATCTAAAGTATGTATGTCATGATCTAGTTTATAGCTTGTGTATTTTTATTTGTACTATTTTATGTAGCGGACAAGGGTTGAAGAAGGATAGATCGAGGAACTTATTAAAGAGTCATTTTCATTATGGTATTGTATAGGACAGTGCATGCATCATAATACACAACTCTGGATATTTAAATATCAAGTTTTGAACTATTTGATACTATATATAATAACTTTTATCATTTTATATACATATTATAAATGTACATATAAACAAAATAAAAGATATCATTCCTTCTACCTATTTTTATGTTCAGGTCGAAATTAAAGTTATTCATGAAAGCAGATTATATTCTACTTTATTTAATTTTTACACTTCGAAATAATAAATTTTAATTTATGAGTTTTTCTAATATGTGTCATGGAACACAGGCTAAGTAAACTTATATGAGCAAATAAATTTGTTTAACACCTTAGAGTTAGATATTTTTTGTTTTCCAATAAGATTTTACTTGTGTATCCTTAACATCTATACAAAGGTGATAGTATTGATACTCTAAATCCTCTATCCACACTCCCTATAAACCATCATCTTAAAAAAATATAGGTATTACTTTATGATATTAGACATTATGAAATTTTAATAATCTCGTCATGCATATGAAACCATGCACCTATATCACTATTTATTAAGGGGGAAGAATTACTCAATTGAATTTCAAATTTATCAACTAAAAAATTAGTTAGTGATTTATTTTATTTTATTAGTGATAAAAATATTTATAATAAATTAAAGTGTAATTATATGTATTTTTAACTATTTGTTTATATTAGTTATGGCATATCGATCTACTAAAATATTTGCATATTATATATTTAAAACTTCTACAAACATAACAGATAGAAGAGGGATTGCATTTCCTAAGAATACTGTAGAGTATGTCAGGCACTATTTGAAGCTATACTAGTCCTTTTAATATTTGGGGAGCATAAGAAGAATCTTGTGAGGTTGTGATTTAGAGTGGTCCAAACTTGCTCATTCTATTGTATTGTATATGGTACTTACATAAATTAAACAATTTTTAACTATTTATGGTTCTATCTTTCCAAACGTGGGTGTGATTCTCCTATGCACCTGTCTCTCTCACTTTCTCTCTATACATCATACATCATATTATTCCTTACCTGCAATTGCATCTATCAATATTATCTCATAAAATCACTGTATTCCCGTAATTTCAACCCAAAAAAATAATATCACATACGGTACAATATAACAAACGATATACAGGGGAAAGCATCCTTACATCTACCATATTCATCAAATTTAAAAGCAATAATCAGGATCAAACGATCCTATAATACTTACAACACATTATGTTCATAAAGAAAGGATTGTTTTCTAGAATTCTTCAACTACAAAAAAACAAACAATCCCACATTTCTTGCTTCGTAGTAACATGTTTGAGCAGACAATATGCTATACTAACAACATACAGTTTAATGATATTAATAAATTAATGATACCCACTTACAAAATGGTTGAAGAGATTACAAATACAGATTACATTAGAGCCGGAAGGATTCAAATTTTAACCCCTTGAAAATGCACAGGAGATAACTCACTGAAGACACTAAACCTGGTGGTAACATTAATTATTCATGAGCAAGTCCTAACACTACAAATAAAAACTGAAAAGAATGGATACATTTTATTTTCCAATAATATAACACGAGGAGGTTATTATAAAATTTGGCCCAGACAGGACCACCCCAATAAGCCTCCACCTAAATCTTCTTAACATCTTGTTCTTGAAGGGGGGCTGTGTTTAAGCAGCATTTCATGGATTTCTTGAGCTGTAGGACGTTCTGTTGGATCTTCTTCGACACACTTACCAAACAAATTAACAAGGAACTTCAGCATGTCTACCTCAGCATCTGTTTCTTCCACTTTACCAGATTGAATCAAAGTAGGTTCATTAACTGAACACAATGCTTCCAGCTCAGCAGTTAATTTTGGTCGTTTACCAATCTGTATTCATCATAGTATAAAAATTAATTAAAGCACATGTATTAGGGTTGTGCATGAACCAGCTAGCTCAAGCACTTGCAAGTATAGAGTATGAAGTGTGCTTATCTAATTTGCAAGAGCAAAAGATGGTTCCGTACCTGCAGACTGTCATGGACATCTGAATCAGAGACTCCAGAATATGGAATTTGTAGAGTGAGCATCTCCAAAAGTAAACATCCAAATGACCAAATATCAGCTTCCTGTCACAAGATAAAGAAATGTTACAACACAAGACAACACTATATAGTACTATCAACTATGTCTAGTCACAGCAGCTTGACCATTTTTACTATATATTATTGATTAAAAAAGGAATGAACCACATTACTCATCTTCTAGATATGATAATGCAAATAAGCATCATATGATTTGCACCTCTAACAAAAAAAGGGAGGGAGGTGGACTGGACTGGACTACTTCGCTTGGCAAAATAAAAAGAAAACAAGAGCCCGGAAAAAAACAGATCATAGAAATCTGCAGAACAAACTGTAAACATTGTAGTAGGCAGCAGGATAAAACAACTGCATTATCATTTGATGCATTAGCTCTCTATACACTGTAAATTAAACAATTAGAGCACAAGAACAAAAGTAAAGTCAAATATTGTAGCATCTTTTTTACATACTCTAAATGACACAAAAAAGCAATTGGATCACACATTTTATCTATAAAATCTAAAGGAGAGGCTGACCCTGCCCCATGCAACGATCTGAAACATACATACATCATAATATCTTAAAACTAAATAGCAGATAACTTCTCACAGTGTGAAATATCAAAGTCAAATTATAATTTATGGGCTATACATAGCAAGACTTCTGTTAAAAATACTGCACGTCTGGTGTCAAAATGCAATTGTTTATAGAACACATCTACTCTCTCGTGAAAAAATTGTTTCTTGATTGTAAAGTCAAATTATTTTAGAGAGCAACCAAAAGAATATAACCAGCCATGTAAATACTGTATAATAAACTACCAAGATAGCCCTATCTACAAAAATCTTATTAACAGCCTAAGCCAGCCAAAAAAACAAATCAAACTTTAAACTCAGGGGAACCTAAGACCTAGATCACTCCCTGTTAGCATAGATAATAGAAAGGAAAACAGGCACATAGTGGCGTCCTTAAATAAGTGGGGTACATGAAGAAGAGCAGAAATAGAGACCATTCAAAGAAATAAAGTATTCAAGATAAGTTAGTAAATTGTAGAACATAACAAATCATTATTATAAAAATATCTTTTGCAACATAAAAAGAATTGTCTCAAATCATTTTTATTAATAGTACTATCATACATTTATACAAACACAATTTACTTTTTCAAATCATCAAGGAACTTTCAAATCGAAGGACCAAGATCTTGCATTGAACTGGAAACTAGAAATTTGGTAGTTGCATAAAATTCCTAATATTATTATGCATATATTTCTAACCCAAAATAAGACTGAATATCATGTAAAGTGATTATGGCTAATCATTAGGTAGAAAATCTTACCAATCCATAAGTGTTTTTTTCATGCATCGTCCGCATAACCTCTGGAGCCATCCACCGAGGTGTTCCAACACATACACACGGAGGAGGTGTTCCCACATGAGCAATGCAGCATGCATGCAAAGGTGATCTTAGTGGCACCGCACTATCGAAATCACAGAGCTTAACAGTGGGAATTCCATCCTCTCTCTTATCCAAATCAAAAAGAATGTTTTCACTTTTTATGTCACGGTGTATTATGTGCTTTGAATGCAGTTCCAACAAAGCGCATGCGACATCTTTGGCAATACAAAAAGCCAAGTCCAAAGGGACATGCTTTTCACCAGCTTCTGATAGCATATTTAGATAGTTCTGAGAGAATATGAAGTACAAACTTAATAAAACATTCAAAATATGTTAATAATAATAAAAAATGAAATAGAAAATCTTACTTTTAAGGACCCCCCTTCCACATACTCCATAAAAATTGAAGATCTTAATACATGATGCTCAGGATTACCATCAGATGAGAGAGTCCATTGGCATGATATTTGGTGTCCATACATTTCCACTATGCAGGGATGTTTTAAAGCACCTAGAATTCTAACTTCTCCCAAACAA